GAAAATGCTCGGGGTTGGGTGGGGCTCAGTTACTCAAATCCAACAGCTTAGAGGCTGGACAAGTATTATCCTTCACTWTTTAAATGTTTYTTTTGTTGTATTGAATCATAAATGAAAACCCAGGTGTTTAGATCAAAGCACAATAAAAGGTGAGGATATTTTGGTTGTGTGCAGAGCCATCGTGGGCCGTCGGTGTTTCTTCCTGGTCGGGACCCTCTACATGTACCGCTGCGTCACCATGTACATCACCACGCTGCCGGTGCCCGGGAAACACATGGTCTGCGCCCCGAAGGTACCAGAAGGACTCGCATTAAACCCACTGAKCTGTCTGCAGCAGGAAAATAACCATTTGTTTCTGAGCAGCTTTACAACGACTCGACGGGGAAGATCTGGAGGATTCTGCGGCTGATCTCAGGAGGAGGTAAAACCCATTCTGTGTTTTCACATTAAAGCAGGGGTGTCAAACTCCTGTCCTCGAGGGCCGCTATCCTGCATGTTTTAGAGCAGGGGTGTCAAACTCCAGTCCTCGAGGGCCGCTATCCTGCATGTTTTAGAGGTTTTCCAGCTCCAACACACCTGATTTTGATCGCTGGGTAATTAACAGGCTTCTGCCCAATTTGAAGAGTTAATTCAATCACTGAATCAGGTGTGTTGGAGCTGGAAAACCTCTAAAACATGCAGGATAGCGGCCCTCGAGGACTGGAGTTTGACACCCCTGCTCTAAAACATGCAGGATAGCGGCCCTCGAGGACTGGAGTTTGACACCCCTGCATTAAAGTGTCGAGTCGTGATCCGGTCACACAGAGCAGGTGTTTGTGTTCTGCTCAGGTCTGTCCCTGACCGGTTCTCACCTGATGTGTGGAGACTTCCTGTACAGCGGTCACACCGTCATGTTGACGCTCTCCTACCTCTTCATCAGGGAGTGTGAGTAAAATCCTAATGTTCCCTTTTCTTCCTCCTCTGGACGAGAGAACAGGAACACCTGGAGGTGATCCGCCAGGAAACCATGACTCAGCAGGTTTTCAACTATGTTCCTGCTAAAAGAATTAAAGTTTAACTTTACTTGGTAGAATGTAAATAAAAATCTGACGCCAACAGGCGGGGTTATAATAAATATATTTATACCTGAACCAGTATTTAAAGCTATTTGCAGGAAGTAAAATAAATTTATGATTAACAGTAACCAAAGAACTGCAGGTTTAGGTTAAACTAGGGGCGGAGCTAGACATTTTGCAAGCGGTGGGCACGGTGCTTTTTAACGGGGCACCCTGGATTTGAAAATTCAAGATGGCTGCCGCAACCAATTCCAAACAGCTTTAATTTGGCTGTTTTTAGAAGCAAGCTGAGATTTGTGCAGTCGTAGCTAATAATGTATTCTCAACTTATTATTCAGCCATTTTTAAACCAAAAAACAAAATTGAAGATTAGCGTTGAAGTAGCCAAAAACAATCTTGACCAAATCCTAAATGTAAACTTTAAAAAATTTAAAGGCTAAAATTCAGCTATTTTAACACTCATTGAGGTAAAATTAGTGGTAATGTATCTAAAAATGATCACACGCTGATTGCAGATGCTAATCCTAAATTCAGCTAACCAATGATGCTAATGCTAATTTTACAAAGTGCTATAATTCAGCCGTTTTTAAATACACACAGCTGAAAACAGTAGTACCAGAGAACAATATTAAAATCTAAATGCAAATATAAAATCCAGGATCCCCACCCACTTGAAAAATTTTTTTGGGGTTGCCAATCAGGTGGCAGAGGTGGCTCCGCCCCTGGGTTCCCAGGGGCAGAGCCACCTCTGCCACCTGATTGGCAGAGGTGGCTCCGCCCCTGGGTTGAACCCTCCTGCTGAGCTCTTGATTATGACCCAAGGACAGCAGGAGGATTTCAGGTTTTTTAAATTTAAGAACAAGCTTCAATTTTTGTTGTCTCCGATGCTCCGTCTTCAGACTCGCCCCGCTGGATGTGGTGGTACCACTGGTTCTGCTGGATCCTCAGCGCCTCCGGAGTCGTCTGCATCCTCGCTGCTCATGAGCACTACAGCATCGATGTGGTGATCGCCTARTTCGCCACCACCAGGATCTTCTGGTGGTACCACACCATGGCCAACTCGCACGTAAGTCCGCCCCCTGCTGGTCGGGCACAGGCAGTTCTCAGTTCTTTCCCAGAGGAACCGGTCCTCTCGTCAAGGTTCTGGGTTTTTGATTTGGGGTCTCTTTGTTCAGGAGCTGCGACGGGCTCCAAACAACTACCTGTCCAGGACCTGGTGGAACCCCATCTTCAACTTCCTGGAGCGGAACGTCCAGACGACGGTTCCGATCGTGTTCTTGTCGCCWCTGGCTCTGCTGTCGTCCTGCAGGCAGAAGTACAGGATGGTGGAGGGGGGGCGGGACTAGTGAGGACCAGCAGGACCTGCATCGGAACAAGAAAAAAAAAAAAAAACTCCTCCCAGATCTTCAAATCAACATCCGGGACAAAGTCTGAGGTTCTGGAGCTGAAAAGTACAAAAAGATGGAAGCTCTGACGAGAAAAATATTTTATCAGTAAAATGTTCAAAACTTTTCCTGAAAGAAGAAAAGTCTCGGTCATGTTGGACTGATTCAAACCTTCAGGACGATCTTAGTTTCATTTGTTTATTTTTTTCTACTGTAAAGTTAAGTTGTTGAGTTACTGAAAAAGTGTTGCTGCTTAAAACTTTAAACCAACAAAGGTTTGTTTGTCTTAAAGCTACAGAGACTCCGTCCACGTTCAGTTTGTGTCTCAGTGTTCAATAATAAAAAGATTATTTTCACTTTATTTCAGCTTTTTCTGAACCGTTAATTAAGACATTAGTGTTGGCAGCAGTCAGATCTTTTATTTTTTTATTTTACAGAACTTTAGCTTCAACACAAACAACAAAATAAAATAAATAAATAAAATTCCTATAAGAACCATTAAGGCAAAACAAAAGTTAAAACCAACAAAAAGGCATCATTTCAATGTTTTTGTTATTTTTCTGTGTCTGCATGAGTCCAAGTTAAAACCCACAGGATGAAAACAGCTGCACACGGTTCAGTTCTGGGTTTGACACGAACTCAGAGGTTAAAGTTCAGGGTTTAAACTGTTTCTGTCACATGACGAGCTTCGTCCAGCAGTTAGAGTCCAGCTGTTGGAAACAAAACAAAACATTTTTCATTGATAAAATGACAAATATAAAAGGTTTGTTTTAGAAAGTTAATAAACTTCTTTAAAAAGCAGACCTGAGAGAACTTCCTGCCAGCTGCTGGTTCTGCCTCCTCTTCCTCTTCCCCTGAAATAAAGAAATAAAACCAGCTGAGCGTCTCAGCAGCAGGAACGATACGATCCATCGCTCTCTGGCTCTACGTACGTAGTTGTCTCTGGCGGACCAGCCCGGGTACAGCTGCATGTGGAGCAGGCGCTCCTTCTGGGCCAGCTCGTAGTATTTAGACTGTTCTGAGCGGGACAGAGCYTGCCACTGAGGACAGGACAGGACATCAGCCGCTGACAAGAAGTGACGAACAGGTGATGTCATCAGGTGACTCACCTGTTGGCCCAGGATGCGGTTTATGGCGGAGCTCTCCCTCTCCTGTCCCTCCTGCTGGACTTTATGTCTCATCTCCTTCATGAAGAGCATGAAGGCATTCAGAGGCTTCTTCACTGACTGTCTGCTGCAGAGACAGGTGGGACAGGTGGGAGACAGGTGGGACAGGTGGGAGACAGGTGGGAGACAGAAGAGACAAGTGAGGGCCAGGTGTGAGAGAGGCAAGCCAGGTGTGAGACATGGGAGAGAGGTGAGAAACAGGTGTGAGACAGAAGAGATAAGTGAGAAACAGGTGTGAGACAGGTGAGAAACAGGCGTGAGAGAGGTGAGAAACAGGCGTGAGACAGGTGAGAAACAGGCGTGAGACAGGTGAGAAACAGGCGTGAGACAGGTG